TCATTTCAATTTTATATTTATTTCTTTTATAACTTTCTTCTGCTTTTTCTTTATCTATTTCTTTCCATTTTTTCATTACAATTTCTCCTACTTTTCTATCAATATCTTTTCCTCCTAAATGTGTTTCTCCTTCTGTTGCTATTACTCTTTGATTTCTTTTATTTGTTCTAATTAATGTTATATCAAATGTTCCTCCTCCAATATCAAATACAAGTATTGTTTTCCCTTCTTCATATTTTTTATCATATCCATATGCAATTGCTGCTGCTGTTGGTTCATTTATTATTCCTATAATTTCTAATCCGGCTATTTCTCCTGCATATATCGTTGCTTTTCTTTCTTCATCTTTAAAATGTGCTGGTACTGCTATCACTGCTTTCTTTGGTGCTATTTTATATTCTTCTTTCGCTTCTTCTATTAATTTTCTTATTATCATATTCCCTATTTCTTCTGCTGAATACCATTCTTCTTCATTCACTCCTATTTCGACTTCTCCATTCTTTTCATTTCTTCGAATTTTATATGTTAATTTCTTTCCTTCTTTCTCAATTTCTGAATCATATTTCTTTCCTATAAATCTCTTCGTTTCATATATTATCACCCCTTGTGAACTTCTTCTCGCTTCTTCCCCTATTATTCTTCCTTCTTTTGTAAATCTTACTATAGACTCTATCCTTTCTTTCCCTTCTTTGTTTTTTATCACTTCAACCCTTTGGTGGTGCTCATCATATCGTGCTATACTTGATTTCGTTGTCCCTAAATCTATCCCTACTACATACTCCTCTTCATTCATGTTTTCTTCTTTCTTTTCTCGTTTTTTTTTTCTTATTTTTCTAAGTCAAGCAATTTTGGAAAAACATTATTTCAAATGAAATAAAACATTTTGAAGAAACTGTTTTTTCTCACTTCTCAACATGATGAAAACCCAGTTACAGGTAGTTCATAATTGATTTCTTTTTTTATTTTTCTCTTGGGGTGACTTCTCATTTCTCGATTTGGTGAGAGTAGTGAATTAAAAAAGCTATTGAGCCTTGTTTTATCTATTTCAATTAAGTAAAAAAGTTTTTATAAATGATTAAAAGAAGGAATTAACTAATAAATGGAGAAATGGATAGTTGTAGAAATAAAAGATATAGTTTTGAAGAACTTGAGAGGGCGTTTCATCACAACTCTGACAAACAAGAGAAAGAAAAGGTAAGAAATAAAAAAGATTTACAGGGGATAAGTTAATCCTTTCTTTTCTATTTATTATAAACTTTTTAGCATCTTAAAAGAATGTGTCAATTGATAACGAATAATATGAAATTATATACATTTACAGTTACTACTAATAAAAACAATAGTTACAGAGTTAATTGAAAAAATATTTCATCAATCTTTAAAAGTTTGTATCAATGAAAAATATAAAAAAAGGGTTTTTATAAATTAAATCAAGACCCTATCGGCAGATCCATCAAATCAATTTGAATGAGTTCAGTTAATCTCGTTTTAAATGCACCAAAATTTGTTAGAAAACCTAAAAAAGTAGAAGAGTCTACAATTACAACACATGAAACAAACAATGAATCAAAAACACAATTAAAGATGGATGCTAAAGTATTTGTTCCAAAGAATAGAAAAACTGTTATATCTACAAAAACAGAAGTTCCTATTACTAGAACAACTACAACAGAAAATCAAACAATTAATATTCCTAAACCCCAAAAGAAAATAAGTGATGACACAATAGAAGATGACGTTGAAAAAATTCTTAATACTGAAAAAACTCCAGCAAGATCATCATCTGCATTTGTTCCAGAAGGAATATTAACAAATAGTCCAATACCTAATCGTTTACCAACAAAACAACAAGAAGAGAAATATGTTCCACCATCACCAAAAATGAAATATATTTGTTATACACTACAAGAAATAGAGAATTTAAGAAGTAAAGCTATTCATTTAACTGAAAGTGATGTTTCAAGATTTAATAAAATGGCAAGTGAAAATAAAAAGAAGAAACCTATCGTACCAAAGAATTTATTCACAACACAATTAAATAATGATGAATTAGTTCAATCAAAGATTCTTGCTATCTTAAATAAACTTAGTGAAGAACGTATTGTTCCTTCTGTTTTAGCAATTGAAAGTCTTTTAAAGACAACTAATGAATTATCAATTTTCCTTGATATGTTGTTTAAAAAGTCTATTAATGAACCAAAGTTTGCATCGTTATATGTTGAATTTTTTATTCAAGTTAAACGTAACCCAAAAATTTATGATAAATTTGTTCAAGGAGAGAATGTCTTAATGAAAACATTACTTGAAAAAAGTTATCAATTATTCCATGCTATTCCTCAACCAAAACCTCGTAAAGAAGGTATTACTCCAGAAGAAGAAATTCAATTAAAAAATACAGAAGAAATTGAAAAATTAGAATATTTTGGTACTGTTCGTTTAATTGGTAAATTATATATTCAAGGAGCTGTTGTTTGTAGGTTACCATTAATATGTTGTAATGAATTACTTCAAGTAGGAAATGATTTAACAATTGAAGCATTAACCATTTTAATTAAAGATGTTTGGAAGAATTTAAAAGATGAAAGAGAAGATGAACTTCAAAAGATTTTAGATCAAATGAGACTAACAGAAAATAATCACAACTTAGCTAAAAGAACTCATATCATTGTTCAATTATGTCTTGATAGTGTTGAATCTAATTGGGTATCTTCATTCGTTGAAAGGTCTGTTTCAACACCTGTTAAAGGAAATATTTATAGTAAATATGCTCCTAAAAAATCAAATCCTGTTAAACCTACTCCTACTAGAGGTGCTCATCGTATTGAAAGAGAAAAAAAAGAATATGACTCATCTACACCAACACAAATGAGAACACCAATTCCACAAACACCAACGTATACAGCTGGTGTATTTGGAGAACAAATTATATCTAAGTTCATTAAAAACGAAATACAAATTGAAGAGATAATGAAAGAAATTGAAAATAGTAATGCGTATGGTGAGTGTGTTAAAAAATTAGTGTCAATGTATGAAACTTGTAATGAAAAACAATTAATTAAAATTAAAGAACTTATTACTCAAATATGTTGTACAGATTGTGAGGCATTATTAAAAGATGCATTAATTAATATTAAAGAAGATAATGAAGGACTTGAAGGAGGAGCATCAGATGTAATGGCATCATTATTTAGTCAAATGATTCTTAATAATAAGTACCAATGGGAAGAACTTGGAGGATATTTAGATGAAAAATTTGAAGATATGATTATGAAGAAAGCAGGAGTTAAATCTACATTATACGTTTTATCTCAAATTATTCTTGAAATGATTCGTAAAAAAGGAGTTAATGAAATTAGTTCAATTCTTAAAGATAAAGAAGAGTTATTTGAAGAAGTTATGTGTTGTGGATCATTTGGAGCATCATTATTTAGTGCATGGATGAAAACAAGTAGTGGAAGTAATTTATCTATTAGAGAAGAAAATGAAAAAAGAGTTATTCCAGAATTAAAAGAAGTAATTCCATTATTAAAAATCCTTGGAGAAGGACAACAAGGAGAATTTAAGAAAATGATTGAAAAATTATGGATTGATCCAAACGAAATGACACTAAAGAAATTAGAAGAAATCAAAATATTATTAACTGAAAATAATTTACTTTAATTATTTGTTATTGACTAATTGTTGTTATGTAACATTTTGTTTCTGCTTCTTCATCTGCTTCAAATGTATCAATACCATTTAAATTTAATTTAAAACACACACTATTGCATACATGTTTTTGAAGAAAAATATTCATTCCATTAAATCTATGGTTATCACCACTACACCCAAATCTACAACTCATCTCATGATGAATTGCCATATCAGTTAATAAATAATTTTCATTATGAATAACACCTTGTAAATCACTTATTAATAATCGTCTTCCACTTCTTACATAAGTAAAATGACTAAAACAATTTAATGATGCAGAATAATTTTCTAAATTCACTTTTCCATCATTTTTATTCCAATAAGTAAATCGTTCTTTAAGTAATGGTTCAATTAAAAATATATTTTTTCCTTTAATGAATTTACGTATTTCTGAAATAGTATAAATTTTTTTTGATAATGGTGTTATTGTCGGAACAAATAATTTAATATTAACACATTGAATAGATGATGTACTTAAAAAATTAAAGTCATTCAAAAATTTCTTTGTTACAGAATAACTTTCTAAAATGCCAATATAATTATCAAATGTATTATTAATTATATCATGGTCATATTTTACTACAACTTCTTCTTTATTATTTAATAATCCTTTATGTACTATTTTAAATCTTCCAAGTCCAGAACATTTTAAATCAACTTGAAGTTGAGATGGTTCTACTTCAACTATTGTTGAAACACCATATGACTTATAACATTCATCTGAATTAATATAACTTTCAGGAATTGAAATAATAATACCATTCATTACTTCTTTTTCTTTACTCATAAGAAGTTCATTCATGTATATTCTTAAATCATTTAATTTATCATCAAATAAAGTATTCTTAATATCAATATCTAATAATTTATTAAACCATAACTTATTAAGAAGACATTCATTCAAATTGAATTTATTCCAACAAATATGTTCAATCTTTTTAGAATGAATAATCTTTTCATTAAATTCTTGTTGATATTTATTATCATATTTTTGTGTTATAAAAACAAAAAGATGGTCAATAATAATATTGTCTTGTTCTATTATTTCTTTTGTTTGTTTATTAATGTTTATTGGTGATTTATCAAACCAAATAATTACCTTCTTCCCATCATTTTTTATTCTCCAATCTACATTTGTTATTTTAGTAATTATATTATCAAATGGTATTTGTAACATATTTTCTTTGTTATAATTTTCATCAATAAAACGATTATTATACTCTTCATTATAAAACTTTTCATTTTCAATAAATTGTGGATGTGAACAACAAAATCTATTAAATTCATCAATATAATATTGAATAAATCCAAATCTCATTGTTGAATATCGTTTTATTAAAGTCATTATCTTTTCATTTATAATATTTATATTTTTTTTATTATTCTTTTCGATAATAAAAATAATATCAGTCATTTTATCTTTTCCTTCATTTTCTATTGAATTCAAATATGATAATATTTGATATTCTGGTTTTTGTTTTTTCTTTTTTCCAGAATATATTGTTACTATACTTTCATATGTTTTCATTCGAACAATAGACTCTTCAAATTGTTCTTTACTAATACCGTTAAAATCACTCTCCATATTTGTTTTTTTCTAATAATGTTTTTTAGTTTTTTTAATAAAATAATTGCATGTTTAATTCTTTTATTTGTTTTCTAATAAATAAAACTTTGATTAAAAAAATTATTAGTTCACTTTATTGTATAGGTTCTGCACAACAATAATTCAATGTTTTTGTTACCACTAAATAATTAAACAACATTTTTTTCATAACCCCTCCTCTCAACAAGGAACTGATAAACAATATTATTTAATTCTTATCAGTATTATACTACAACTAAATTTAATGAAGAAAGAAACGAATTAAATGAAAGAGATTTAAATAGAATAAAGAAATATAATAAAAGATGAAATAGAATCTTTAAATAAATTCTTTTATTTAATAAAGAAAAGAAAATAATAAAAAAAATAGTTAAACAATAAAAAAAAAAAGAAAATACTAAATTAGTAAAATTATTGTTGAGTACATTCTTGAGGTGCTGGTTGTGTATTAGAATCATCTTGTGTTGGTTTTCCATCGATAATTTGTTTTAATGGTTTTTCATCATAAGCATCTTCATCTTCATCAAGGTCTTCTCCTTCATCATTTAATAATGTTTCATCGAAATAATTTACAGCAGCTGGAATTACTTCATTAATTAATGTAAGTAATGCTTGGAACATGTCATGAATAGGTAATGCCTCTTCATCAATTAATCCATCATCATTAATGTCATTATTTAATACTAATTCTTGTGGATAAAATAAATCAAAAAATGATTCAACTTTTGTTTCTTGTTGATTTCTTCCTTTTTTATTTGTTTTTTTTCGTGTAATTTTAAATCGAGGGTCTTTTCCTTTAACCCAGTCAAGTGGTGTAGTTGTATTAATTTTTGGTTCTTCAAATTCTCCTTCAATATCTCCTAATTTATATGTAATTTGAATTGATATTTGATTATTTCTTAAATATGGATTATTTCTTAAATATGGATTATTTCCAAATATGAAATTTACATTATATTTAAAAAGTAATGACGGTGTTCCATCTTTTAATGTACAATCTTCTGTTGGAAAATAATCTGCATTAATATCTTGAAGATAAGTTAATATGATTGAATCTTCTTCATTTCCTGATAATCCATCAAAAATTCCTGAATTTTTTAATACATGAAGCCAAAAACATGGTATTCCATTTTGATATTCTGATGTTTCATTTGGTGGACATTCACTATTTATTTGATATCCTTGTATCTCTTCATCAGTTAATGGTGCTCCCATAATAATAGCTTTTCTACGTTCATAATATGGTTTAGCTGATTCATTTAATTTAATTTGTGATTCATGTTTTTCTTTTTCTGATGCAATCTTTAATTTTTGATATTCTTTAGCAATATTTTGACACATAGAAATATTTTGATGAACTTCTACGTTAACCAGTTTTAAATATTCTTCATATGTTTCAGCACTTAATAATTCAAAGTAATCAGTCATTTAAGGGTTATTTTTCTTTTATTTTTTTAAGTTCTTTTTTCTTCTCATATCTTAAAAACTATCTAAAACAAACTAAATTTTTTTTTTATTAAAACTTTTTTGATTAATGTGATGTATAACATCTTATTCAAGTCTTGGATGACTTACTTTTCCAAAGAATAATGGATATTGTTCTTCTCCAGTGATTATAAAGAAATATGGTTTATTAATAATAACATCTCTTGGTGGTTCTAGTGGTAAACAACATCTCATCATTGCAATTCCTGTTGCAGCAGCAGCAACTGTTCCTTTTTCATCAACTTCAACAACAGCTTTATGAATAGCTTCTGAAACACAAAAATGTCCTTTTGCCATTTTACTGAAATCTGCACTTTCATTAAAAGCATTAATTAATCCAAGACTTTTTAATTGTTGATTCATACTAAATGATGTTTCAATTTTAAATTTTGGAATAGTAACGTTTCTTTTTTCTGAAAACTCTTGAACTGTTCTTCTTACATATTCTTTTAATTCTCTTATATTTTCTTTTTCAAATTCTTTCATATTATTTGGCATAATAATTACCATAGAATATTTATTTCCAACATATGGAATATTAACTGATGTATATTTATCTGTAAATACTGCTGAACATTCAAAACGTTCTTTCATTCCTATAACTTCTTCATCTCCTTCAAATTTCATTTTCTTTGGAAGAATTTTAAATGGTGTTTTCCATTCTCCTTTAAAATAAATAGCATTAACAATGACAGCAATTGTATCTCCACTAATTGTTCCTGGTTGAAGAAATTCAATAATTACTTTTCTTGTTGCTTCTTCAACAAATTTATTAATTTCTTGTCTAATATTTTCTGCATTAGTCATAAAATTTCCATTTTTTAATTGACAATTAAGTGTGTTTATTGCTTTTTTATATTCTTCAGTAAATTCTAAATTTTCTGATGCCCAAATCCCATTGACTATATCAACAGTAACACTTGATGTTGGTTCTTGGTGTTTAATAATGCTTTGTAAAAATTTTATAAAATTACTTTCTGGAATAGAAGCAAATCCAAACACCTTTTCTAGTTGTGTTTTTGTTTCAGAAGCAGCACCAATATAAAGTAATGAAAATGCAATAAACATTGAATGTGTAGAAAACACAATATCTTCTTTAATTGGAGATGAGTCATACCAATCAATACAAAGTTTATAAAGAGCATTTTGCATATTTTCAATATCTTGATAATTCATTGATACGAATATTTATTAAGTTCTTTTTATTAAGTTTAAATTAAATTTATTGAAATATTTTTATTTTTATTTTGATGTTTTTTTTTTATTTTTTTTCTAATTAGAAAAATAACAAAAAAAAAAAACCAAAAATCAATTTATTATGTCATAAAATCTTTACACAACGATTTTCTTCTTTATTCAAATTCATTTAAATTTTGAGTACAAAATAATTTACTTTTAGGATAAATTGGTAATGGTTCAGTGTACATTTTTATTACTTCATCAGAATCTATATTTAATGGGATATCTCTAATAAAACCATTAGAAACATCATTAAAATCTTGTTGGTCTTCATCTATTTGCATTTCTATTGTATGTTCATCAATACGAGGAGGATTAGTAAATTGAACAATAGGTAAATTAGAATTTCCAACATCTTCAAGGATTATCATTACTTTATTTAATATATCTTCAATATAATTTCTACTATTACAATTTTTCATTTGTGGATTAGTAGAAATAGTTATTTTCATATCAGGAACATAATATTCTAAATAATCATTAATTGGAATTTGATCAGGAATATTTAAATCACAAGCTGCTGCTGTTTCATAACACCAACATCTTGCAGTATTAGATACTGTATATCCACCACCTCCAACAAGAATCATTGGAAGTCCAAATTTTTTAACATATTTCATACAATCACAATGTCCTTGAATTGATAAATTAAAAAATCCTAATCTATCTCCATTTAAACTATCTGCTCCACATTGCATTACAACTACACTTGGTTGAAATACTTCCATAATTCTATCTATTATTGGATAAAATAATCTATGATACCCTTCATCATTAATTCCATCTTTTAATGGTACATTAATACTATAATTTTTTCCTTCATCAATTCCA